TTAAAATTTAAATGGTACACGTCACCTGTTAGCTGTCAAGCCATAACATGATATGACTGTATCAGTGATGTTTCAAGTTTGAATCCAGTATTAATATGTTAATCAGGGAATCGGTTAAAAGTCATTAAATCATTAACTTGTCAATAATTATAAGGTAAAACTACGTCTAATATCTTAAACTATTTTTAAAGTACGCTTAGCATCCTAAATTATTAAGTCATACAATTTTATTCCCAATCTATTAAAATAGGTGCAATTTTACCTATAACTAACGAACTCTTAAACATCGGTTTTCCCATCTCCTTCCCCCTCTGCTCTGTCCGTCTCTCCCCTCCTCCTTCCTTTCCCTTTCTTTCTGCATTTAAGAACAAACAACCCAAGACAAGCAAAAAAAAAAAAAAAATCATAAGAAACAAGTAAGAACCCGCAAAAAAAACAAAGAAAAGAAAAGGAAGCATAACTCGTGTCGAGTCAAGAGGAAAATTTAGAAGAAGTTTGGTCCAACAGCGATCTCATGCTACTCCTCCGGTCTTTAATATAAGACTCATTTAACTAATTTGATTAGATTAAGGAAGTTAGGTAAGTTAGTTAATTATAAGAAAAGTGACACATTTTTCCTAAAACACCATAATTATCTTTCTTAATACCTCATCTTCCTCTTCTACTTGACTATGGTTGAGGGGGTATCCATAGGGGTAATTTAGAGACAATTGATAAATATGAGAAATTGGTCTTATATTTAGGACCAAAACCAACTCAAGAATTGGGTCCTATATTAAGGACCGGAGGAGTAATATCAATTACAATTGTCCGATGAAAACTCTCTCAAGAGAAGGCATGGAATAGTTTTCCAACATCATTATTAAAAAAAGGGGGGGGGAAACACTTCACCTCATTAATACTAGAAGGACTTCTGGAAAAAGAAAAATTAATACTAGAAGGACATAATGTGTGTAGTTGAGGAATATTTAGACTAGGTATAGCTCTGCACATTTGTAATAGTAGTAACCATGGTGTTAGAAGATTTTGCACGTTAATTAATCCCTGTGGATGTAACTATTAGTGTAACAAGTAAAGACAGCACAGGGAAATTACTCGGATGTAAATCAGCTATAAATTCCAAGAAATCAGATGTGGATGCAAAAGGGAAGAAATGAAAAGGAAGGAGGAGAGGAGAGATGGACGGAGAAGGGGGCGAGATGGGGAAGAAAACGGATATTTTTGAGTCTATTAGCTTTTGTTAAAATTGCACCTATCTTAATAGATTGGGAACAAAATTGCAGCATTTGATATTTTAGAATTTAAAATTAGTTTAGAGTGTTGGGTGCACTTTTATTCTAAATTATATTACCTTTCTCAATTATTCTTATTGAACTCAGAGTTAGCTTTATTACATGTAATTGTACACAAAATTAAATAAAAAGATTTAATATCCTCAACATTATCAAACAAGACTTATGTATTGAATCAAGAAAAAGTTGCAAAATAGCTCATATTTTGGATATCTATATGTGTACGTGTTTATTATTTATTGTTCATAACATATATTATACTTAACCAAATAATTATCTTGTTATATTTACTGATGTATTTATCATAAGGGGATTATTTTATTAAAAATAAAATAAAACTAAAAAATATGTTATAAAAATTAATATTAATACTACTATACGTGAAATAGATAAGAAGTGGCACAGACCTTGATGTATTAACAACTCGTTTTTCAAACACCATGTACAATATATCGGACGTTGATTCAGTTTGAATAACCAACATGATTGAATCTACCAAAAGGGATTAGTCTCTTATAATGTGATAAATTAAGGTTTAAAATCTTATTGGCAGAACTTTTTACATTTAGTATCCGATAGTGTTTTAAATAAAAATGATACTCCTTTGGTCCTTAATATAAGACCTACTTAACTAATTTGATTAGATTAAGAAAGTTAGGTAAGTTGATTAATTATAAGAAATATGACATGTTTTTTCTAAAACACCATAATTATCTTCCTTAATATTCTCTCTTTCTATTCTACTTGATTATGTTGAGAGAGTATCCACATGAGTAATTTAGAAAAAAATTAATAAATATGAAAAATAGGTCTTATATTTAGAATCAAAATTAACTTAATAATTAGGTCATATATTAAAAACTGAAAGAGTATTTAAAACTTGAACATGATGTTAAGATTAACGTGTGCGTGTATGTTTAAATTGTACTTAAAAAAATCTAGTTTAAATGAAAAAAATAATGGATGTAAGGTGGAATTTACTATGCACGTATATTAATTTAAAAATGGGGGCATATTGAGTATGTTGGGTCAGGTGAGCGTTGGGAGTTTAAGTCGAGAAATATTGGCGTCTTGCTAGTGTACTTATGTCTTAGCATTATGTGTGTGGTCCCTTCAATAGTGTAACCCAAAACAAAGGCATAGTTGGGCGGATTTGCTCATCCTTAAGGGAACATCCTAATCATTAACCCCCTAAATCCTCGTTATCGTACTTACCACTTTCCCCTCAGAATTTAAATTTCGTTTCGACCATGTAGAGATGGTGCATGCAACCCAATATATAAACAACATGTTATTTATAAATTATAAATATAAATAGTCTAATTTATATGTGCAAAAATACCGGTTAATTTAAGTTAATGTTCTTATGGTTTTTTTTAATTAAGAGATCAGAATTTAGAATTATGGCGAAATTCAGTTTAGATATTTAAAATGACGTGTTGTTGATTTATTTTGAAGATTTTGATTTAAAAAAAAATGAACACAACCTCAAGAATTGATTCTTCAATAAAAACTTTAAAATCTTCATAAGTTAGCTATGCTTTGGAGACTAAAAATTATTTTTTTAGGTTTATATTTTAAAATCTGTGTGATACACAAGCTACAGCATATTTTTCAGAAATTTCAATCTAGAACAATTTCTTTTTGGCCAGCATCTAGAAGAATTAATTAAAGTACTCAATTTTTGTAACAAAAATTTTGATGATGATGGTGAGTTTGAAAGGGAGAAAAAAAAAGGCAAAGGGGAGACAAATAAAAGTTGTAGCAGGAAGGATGAAGGAGTGAAAGCTTTGGTACGAAGTACTTGTCATGGGCGGGGGGCCGAGGACTAAGCAGGGAGGGAAATGGAAATTAAAGAAAATGTGGGTAATAGGAATATTCGGTTTGTTTTGATTCTTCATGATTAGGATAGGAATCTCAGTAAAGAGGAAAGGGGGAAAAAAAAAAGGAGTGAAAATTAGAAGAGCATGTAGCTGGACAGTTCTTTTCAATATATGTTCAATGCGAACTTTTTTCTTTAGTAAACTACATGCTAATGCTATGCATGCTTTTGATAGAAATGAAAATTCGTATATCCTTTTTTTTAATTTTGGTTAAATCACATTTTTACTTAATTTATAGACTAACCCTTTACCTTAAATTTAAAAATATTAAATAGTTTTTAAGAAAATTATTTTTATATATTTTTTGGTTATATATTGGGTTTCCAACACAATTTAGAAAAAAATAGGTGCCTCCTCCTTTCTTCTACTGGGGATTCTCTTTGTCGGGGCTACAAAGAAAACAAACTGAGTTGGGCGCTATTGGAATGGAAGGTTAAAGCAAAGTGGTGAAAATTTGCAAAGCGTTGTGCCGAGCTGCTTGCTCATCATTTATCACACACACACACACACACACACACACACGGAGATCCAGTTTACAGGTGGAGGAAAGCGACACGGACCCCTATCCGTGCGACTGCCCAACAACACGTGTTCTCTCTCCCATGCTCTCACAATCCTCCATTTTCTAAAGGTCAGTTAGACATGAGAAAAAAAGAGAAAAAGAGAAGTGAGAAAAAATTTCAATCAGTTTCATTTAGAAAATTAAAAAAATAGGATTAAAATTTTTTAATTAATTTTTATTATTTTTATATTATATCTTATCTTTATTAAAGTTTTAAGACTCCATTTCTTCAAATTTTTAAATCAAACTTATTAAATTTTTTCTTTCCCTCCCCTCCTTTTCTTTCACACCAAACAAGCTCTCAAGGCAACTTGTTTACATACCAATATTGATATTATTTCAAGAGCTAGTTTAATTGTTGGTAACTTACTGTTTGATTTAATGTTAATTTAGCTCCTACTACTTCAAATTGTTAGTTTGATCCTTATAACTTTATAAGGATTTGGTGTGAGTTTAATTATAAGAATCAGAACTAAAATTCAGTAAAAGTATGGAAATCATTTGTTAAACTTGTATAAAAAAATATGAAATTATAGGGATAAAAACTAATGATTAGAAAATATCACGGCTAAAATTAAAATTCGATCAAACTATAAGGACTAACAAAATAAATCCTTATTTTAATCATGAATATGACAGTTATATCCAACCAGTTTACTTAATCCAAAAATTCACGAATTATTGTCTTGACCAATTTGGATCCCTTTTGTTTCTTGTTCTATTTGTTGCGTTTAAATTCTGATTAAAAAAATTCTTCTTTTCATTTAATATTATATTTCATTTATAGATACGAATATTTTTTTATTACATATCTGATCGAGGGACGAGGATGTAATCGTTCCATACCTTGCACCAAACTTCTTTTCGCAAAATACAGTTGTTTAATATCCGATATTATATTATATGATTTGGGTATTACTGAGTTTAGCTTAAGATACGCTGGTCAAAAAAAGTTTAGCTTAAGATACCTATTGCAATGTGATTTTTTTTAATATTCGATATTACATCAAACTTGGATTAGGTCCGTCCACGGCACTTGCACTTGAACCTTCAATTTTGTTTAAAAAGAATCGAGTTTTTCCTACTTGACCCAATCAAGTTTTTCCTGTTTTGGCACTTTAAGGGATCCAATTACACCTTTTCGATCGGATAGATTTAAACATGACTCATCCAAGTGGAGAGGAACGACTGTTATTGCGTTTGAGCTGTCTCTCTTTTCATCCATTAGACCTCCCCCCCCCCCGGGGACATTTATCTGTATTATCAGGAGCCAAATCCCTAGTATCATGACATGAAATTGAAGTAACGGTATAACAGACGGCTTCCTCCTAGAAAGCAGATTACATTGACCCAACTTCAATGAAGCGTAACGAAAAAGAGGCACATGAGGGAAAGATAATAACAAGGCTACTTTCCCTTCGTATTAGATCCACCCCAAATGGATTGCCAAAAGACAGGCCAATTCTTTTGGGCCTCATTCCAGCCCAAAAGTGAGCCCTCTCTAAGTGGGTCCCAGCTGGAGGATACAATCCCATAGCTCACTCCCAACAGTGCAGACCCAAAGAAGAAGAAGGACACGATGAAGGGCACCCAATTGGGCACATCAATCTTCAAACCAACCTTGAGATAATAAAAGAAGGGGAAGAACATTAGCCCTATTGCCAGAGGAATCCCCACTGAGAATCCCATCCTGCTTATCATCCTGTTGGTTACAACTTCAGGTATCACACCTTGATCTCTCGTCAGTTCTTCTTCCTCCTCGTCGTTATCGTCGTCGTCGTCGGAGCCTCTTTTCTTCAGCTTGTTCTTCTTCTTGCTCTTCTTCGGAGAAGGTCCGAATCCTTTCGAGCTCCTCAAGGTAGCGCATAGCGGTGTGAAGCGTGAGAATCGAGATGATTCCCGCTTTTGAATCGGGAATTGCGGCTTCACATTGATTTCGTATTGATTGATAACTTCCTGGAGAGAATCACAAACAGAATCAAACGATCGAAACAAAACCTAACCGCTAAATTTAGAAATAAAACCGGAAATGAAAGCTAAAATCTCGTCTGTAACGGAAACCTTGTGAAGCAAGTGTGGATTGGAAAATGTTGATGCAGATGCAGGTGCGGCCATAGGCTTCACTGGAAGGCGTTGTCAGGCGAACATGAAGGGAAGAGAAGGCATGAGAGGAGAAGCTGTGTTAAAATGCTACTGAACACACAAGGATGGCGATGAAGTTGGCAGAGATCACCCAAAGGATAAGGTTTTGATATGGGTTTTGATTCCCTCCTAAAATGCATCCCGGTATACCTCACATCGTGAAACGTCGACGTCTGCTGTTTTAACATTACACAAGCACAAGTAGTTTTCTATTTACCAGTGTTGAATTTTTATGCCTGCAATATTATTGAATTAATTCTATGGTAAGAGGAATTTATATAAAATTAGTTATAATCAATTAATTACTTTTTGTGCAGAAAATGCCAGAGCAAGACCACTCTTGTCCGGTTTAGTTTCCCGATTGAAGAGAGAATTCCAGCCACGAAATCGTGAGGACCAGATTAGACTTTTTACCAAAAACAAAAATTGAAATCCCATTCTTCCAATAAAAATTACATTTTCACCTTTTTAAATATTTTTATTTCCCCTTTTTTTTTTTGAAATCCTATTTTATTTTTCTGTATACGAAAATATTGAAATGGATATATGATTATATTAAAATGTTAATATTTAAAATGATTATATAAGAGGAAGAGTAGGTGCGGCTACTATTGCATAGACAATTGTAGAAGATTGTAGTTTAAGCATCTATAAAAAGAATTGTTGGAGGTATGGTTGAGAAGAGTAAAACACATAATATGAATTCTTTTTAGAAAAATAAAAAATAAAAAGTATTTAATAAACTTACTAAATGTGACATTTTAGTTAACAATTTATTCAAAAATTTTAGTTGTTGAGAAAGATAATAGACGGTATGATTCATGTATCAAATCCCATACGGTAGGATAAGCTTAATTGTTGTAGTATACTTGTATTTGCTCCATTTTTTTAAATTTTGATTAATTAGTAAATGCTTATTAATTTTTTTTATTAAAGATAAGTTAATATTCCTTTATACTCACTTTTTGAAATGAAGTAATAAAAAATGAATTGCGAAGCTCAGATTCTCTCTACAAATTACAACCGCATCCTGGTTGTGCGCGCGCGTGTGTACACACTTTTCTTTGTCCCAAAAAAAAAAAAAGCCTTAAAAATTGTGTGTATTTAAATCAAGCGCAGTTTCTTCGTTGGAACCACATCCAATTGCAGCGGTCGGCCGGGTCGCTGTAGATGGTGATGTGCGGGGAAATATACATTTCAAATGCGTTGTTGGCTATGATCGTCTCTGTACGAAGCACAAAAAGCAAGAGGCCAATAAGTTCAATTCGAAGCTTTCTCTGCTCCGTGCGAATGAAAAACTCGGCGCAGTGATTCCATTTCAAAGCAGAATTTTATGGTAAATGGGAACGCGATAGTTATGATTATGGCTTTAGCTTCATTCTCATCACCTTCCTTCTTTACACGATCAGGTTGCTCTAACTGTTCATTGTGTGAAACCTCGAGACATCTTTGCTTTTGTTCTACCGATCTTCCAGCTCTCATACAGCAAGATAGATTACCATGATTCTTCATGGTTTTTGTTTTGTTTTTTTTGTTTTTGGCCTCAATGGTTTTTGTCATTTCATATTCTTCAGGGGCATTTTGAGTAGCTTCATTTTTCCACTTGAAGAAGGAGAACGAAGCTGGGCTGATTAAAGTTGTTAAAAATGCTACTAAGAGGGGGAAGCTAGTGTCCATAACACTATCGTTTATTAATTTTTGTTTTTTGGTCGAAAAACTATCGTTTATTAATTAGAAGAAGAGGATATCCTTTTTTTAAAATAATTATTATAACAGAAATATATCTTTAAATTTAAAAGAATAATTTTTTAAAATAAAGTGTAAAAGAATAATTAACGATGATCCTATTTGCCTTGTATTTCTCCGCCATGGGAATCTACTTCTAGTTTTATTATGTGCTTTGATGCAGAACACATTGTTATAAATGAGGGGAATTCTGTAGTGGCGGACTCAGAATCAGAATCTGCAAGCTCTCTTTCCTTGGTTGATCTATGTGTTAATTGCTATATTAGGCCCTTAGTTAAAGACCTAGAATATAGAGATAAATTTTGATGTTTATTTATGATACGGTTTCTCAATTATCTCTATTTATAGGTCCTAAATTCCGTAGGACTATGAAAGGGTTGTTCGAAAGGTATAGAAGATGGAACCCAGTGCATCCAACTTATGGGGCATTTTGGGGGATGGGCGTGGGCATAGGTTGTGGCATTGGTTGGGGTCCTGGTTTTGGCCCTGAAGCCATCGGCTATGTTGGAGCTGGTTGTGGCATTGGATTTAGTGTTGGATTCACTCTGGCTGGCCTGGGTGTTGGCTTTCCAGTCAACTTTCTCTTTCAAGTTCCTTATCGTGGTAACCCTTTATATTCTCAAACTACTTCACTCATAGAATTGTTCAAAATTTTGAAGCTTCTACAGTCATCAAACGTATTTGCAAAACATATACAGAAGTTGTATGGTTTATTGTTATCTTACCTTTCCTGGTATCTTGGCTTTTGCAAAGTTTAAGATATCATCCAATACAATTCAATCCTATGTCTTCTAATATCTTTGTTGACAAAATGCATATTAGACACTAGATTACTGAACTGCGAATCAAAAGCATCTTGTATAATTCCTTACATCTAATAATACACCTGAGAAATAATGATGGTGTACTATGCAATTCCGAAGTGTCTTTACACCGCAAATTTAATAATCCTTAGTTGTCGTTCTCCCAATTTAATATTTCTGTTCTTTAACCCTTGGACATGTTTATTTGGAATCCAGCTACTATGGCAACAAGAGGCGCGGCGTTGAAGTTGGTAGGGTCAAGTAGTCTTCTTTCTAAAAAACATTTTGCTGGCAATGACTGGACGGGAATTGCACCTCCTGTTTCCGAGCTGGAAAGAGAAGCAAGCGAGAGATTCTCTAACTTTGGGCAACAGCATTTGTCAGTCAAGGGCGCTGATTTTTTTGAGATGAAAAATAGCCTGCCATCGCTTGCTACGTCTGCTTGTGAAAGTTGTCGAGCATTGAATACTCGGTTGTTCAACTCTCACAGAGGTATTATTGACAATCATTTCTCTGTTTTGTATTGATTAATTGACATTTACTTGTATGATTCCTCTTGTATTGTTTCCCTCTCCTTTTCTTTATTAGTTTCTTTTGTTGAGCTTATACCATTTTGGTCGGACATAAATAATTTTGTTTCCTAAGTCCAGTAATTTCCCTTTGGTACGATATTCATTCATCCATTTGCAAGCTAGAGTAAGTAAAATTTCATCAATGCTGATCCTTCAAAATAATCCTTTAAATGAAAATCTTCCTTTCATGTAAATGTTGAATTTATGGGTTGATGATGTAGAGAAGATCCAGTTCATCTTACACGCATATCCCTTCATCCCCAAAAAAAGTACAGTTTTCAGAAAACACTAACATCATCTAGTGATATGGGAGTCGATTCCCCCCAACATGATTAGATTATGTATTTTAGGCATATTGAGGAAAAAAATTTTAGGAAAAATCCAGCCTTATGCATTTATCTGGTTTGTTATAGAAACAATTTCAGTTTGCACTATCCTATATGTTTGTTTTAAGTTGCTCATTTAGTGGGACGAGACTTGTTTGTTTCGATTATTTTCCTGATGTATTTCCGATTGTCTTCTCAAATTACGTCATAATAGGAATAAGAGCCAGATGCAGTGCTAGTGCTCTTCTCTGGTGTTTCTTCCATCTCTATTTTTTTTTCTCGTTTCCTTCATGATATCAGAGAAAAGTCTGATCCAGCCATGATTCAATTTGGTTGTGGCTTAATTGTTGAAGGTCTTGATAGTCAGAGTACTGTGACCGGAACCTCATCTGCCACTATGCAGCACACCTTCTGCAAAGAGCCCCCTTCAGCATCCAAAAAACCAGCTCTGGTTCTTATCTCACCATACTGCATAACTGGCCACAACTACTTCCAGTGGTTATCAAGCCTGATGTTGTCTGCTCATGACAGAGGCAAGGCAAATGGGCTTACTAGATCTGCTGCTCTGTCTAGTGTTGATAATCCGAAATATGCTACCTGGGAGGCTGAAAACAGCTTGGTGCAATCTTGGTTTACCGATGCACTGACTAGAGAGATTGGGAAGAATTTGTTGCTGTACAAAATTGCCCATGATGTGTGGACAGGAGAAAGGACATCCTATTCTTCAGTAAACAATAAAGCAATCCTATTTGACACAGAGTGCTTTCTCCATGATTTCAGGCAAGGCAACCTAGATGTAACCCAATATTATAATGTACTTGTAAGACATTGGCAACTACTGGATCTTTACGAGATTCATCAATGGTACTGTGAAACTGATGCCCAGCATTTCAACGCACTCAAAGAAGAAAAGAGAGTGTATAAATTCTTGATTGGCCTCAACCCAATCTTTGAGAAAATTAGACATTACATCCTGAGTCTGGATCCGTTACCTACTCTCGAGGAGGTATTTTTTGAAGTTAAAAAGGAAGAAAGTAGAAATAAACTCACACCCGGTGCTTGCAGTGCTTATGATGTCCCCGAATCATCAGCCTTGGTAGCAAAAGATGCTCATTCTAATGACTACAAATTGAAAAAATTCTGAAAGTCCATGACGTGCACATTGTTACACGAAAGAAGTATGTAGTGAACTTAATGGGGGACAAGCAAGCATGAAGGTCAAAGTGTCAAACCAAGATTGATGAATGTGGATGCGTGGTGACATTTGAAGAAAAGCCTTAGCCTTAATAGAATTACTCCTGCAAGGAACAGTTTGAGATGTTGCACAGATTGACTGGGAGCCAACTCTAGCAAACATCTAAAATTGACGTTGGTGCTGTTCTCGGTGCTCAGACACAGGTAACCCATTAATAGCCTTGCACCCCAAAGTCCATAGACCATATGACTAGTTACTCCTCTTGCCTGGAAATTTTCCTTTAATGTTTTATGAGCTGACGGTAAAACTGGCTGATGTATCACCTTCCAAAGATGTTTGGTCATGGGTACTGTTCAGTTGTCGGAAACTTCAATAAATACTTTGTTGGTTCGTTAGCTAAGCTGCAATCTGTTTTAAATTAGTAAACTGGCAAAGGACCCCAATTGTTTGACTAATTTTTTCACTGGCAATAGGTTGTAAGCAAGATTTTCACTAAAAAGTACAGCACAAATTGACACATGAAACATAAACCACCATGAGACCATACTAAGGATTTCTCAAAGGATTTGATTGTCAATATACCTTCACCTGTTGCAGCCAAGTGCAATATTATCAAATTTCGTCCTGTAGATGCTGACCATGGCGATGAACACAATAGGAACTACATACAGGCTGTGTTTCAAGTGGGGTAGTCCTCTTGTTGATACTAAGAGATATTAAATGCCAGTTGGGAAACTCATTAATTGTTCCGTATTAGAACTGACATTTACTTTCCTAGTAGTATTGTTAGCCTATAAATGAATAGGCTTACTGAAGAGCATGTGGAGTCTGTGTACAAGATTCTAAGATATCTCAAGACGATATCTAAGCTAGCTATATTCTTTAATCTTTAGGAAATGAGAGACTTGTTGAGGTATAGGCAAATGATTGGGTTGGCTTCTGCAAGAGACGAGATCTATAATTGGGCACTATACCTATGTAGAGGATGATCTTTCATGGATAGGCAAGAAATAGTTTGTTTTATTACAAAAGGCCGAATATACAACCCAGTCTTCATGCTATTTGTAAAGGCTTACGGCTGAAACACCTTCTCGGAGAACTTAGAATACATATAAAAGAACCTATGAAAGTTATGCTATCATGAAAATGGTGAACGTTCGTTTTATAATAATGGGACTAAACATGTGAAACGCGACTGGAACTTCATTATAGAGAACCTTATGTGTAATTAGTGATTTGCTCCACGCACACATGAAAGTTGGTTGCAGACATCTTGACCTAACTTTTGCCTAGGATGAAGTTTGAAGATTTGAATAGTAAGCTTGGAATGATCGGCATCCACCCCTCCAAATTGAGGGCGAGCGTTAGTTGTCATGAGAAGTATTCTATATTCCTCTGCAGTTACTCCTAAAGTGAAACTTGCTTATCTGGTTTATTATTTTCTCCTTTATTTTTGGTGTATCATCCTATCACTTAATTTGATGTTTGGTTGTTTTCCTTTTCTTCGTGCAAAAGTTCAGCAGTTGCAGTAGTAAACAAAACTGAAGCATTTTCATCTTTTTATTTGCAGGAAAAGATGAATAGCTAAGCTATACAAAACAATGAGGTAGCTTTCTCCACTCGAGAATTATATCTTGGGACAGCCATCGATTTGTACTGACAGGACCATAAGGTTCTTGTTGATTCAGTTGTTGGGGTAACTTACCACATCTCTATGTCTCCACCCTCTTGGTCAGGCAAAAAAAAAAAAGTCTCCACCCTCTTGTTGTGGGAGAAATTCGAGCGTATATTATATTTGTCAAAAGATGATTCTCCTTAACAATCCCCTTAACAGCAGTGGGTATATTTCATAAGAAACTTTGCTGCAAAAGTAATTTCTTTACTTGAATTGGAAAAAACCTTACTTTAAAAAACTTGTAAATGTGAATTTTGCAAATGAAACATCGCACCGATTTCCTATTTCATCCTAAAATTTTCATGTGGGAATTGACATCATTGGAACTACCAAATTATACACTCAAACCCGAGCAGATGTCATTTTAGAATGAAAGAAATTTTTTTCCGGGTAAAACCTTTGGCTGATGCTCTCGTCTTGACTTATTTTGTAGATGGTTTAGTTTGAGCGTCGGTGATCTCACTTTGGATATAAGAACGTAAAGTGATCGAAGAACACAAATGATAATTATACAAGGGGAAATCCTATATCGAATTTTCATAATTTTTTTAATGGCTTGGCACGACACGAAAGAACAACGCCCTCCATACCGTAAGACCTGAGATTCTACATGGTTTTAATTTTTTTTGGGTTTCAGAAATTCCTTTTTTTTTTTTTTTTTTAAATGTTAGGT